GGAGGGAAAGAAGGGGAGATAGGGGGAAGGTTGGCCACAGCAACGCGTGGCGGGTACAGCTAGTATGTTATAAAAAGTTTCAGAATAAAGTTTAACAACATTGAACCAGATTGTATGGCAGTGTAGAGTCATATAATCAAGTTCAATGCAGTTAAACTGCATTCTGAAATAGATTATTTGGCAACTAGAGTAACTTGATTTAATATAATGAGCAATAACATGTGTATATCACAACACAAATGTGAGGCAGCTATTTCATAAATAATATCAGCTTTAATTTTACATGGGCTGTTTAGTTATGTATGTACGAGGGGTATTTTTTAAGTAAGGTCCATTTTGTTGTAGACACTAGCAGTTTGTGCGCATACCGCAACAAGCACGTGCGTCGTGTACCGGCATGCCTCGGGAACAACTGTAGCTAACCTGTACGGTTCTGTTCTGTGCTTTAAAAATGTTTAAGACTATCAACTCACCCTCCGCATGTGAGGTTCGCTCAGTGATACGGTTTTTGTTAGCAAGGAACCTGCCTGCTGCAGAAATTCATCAACAGATTTGTGAAGTGTACAGTGATACTGTTATGAGTGAAGGCAAAGTGCGTAATTGGGTACGACAATTCAAAGATGGCCGTGACAACGTCAATGATGAGGACTGCTCCGGTCGCCCTTCTTTGATTACAGACGATTTGGTGGCCTTTGGTGGCGGCAAGTTTTTATGAAGAGGGTATTTTAAAATTGGTTCAGAGGTATGATAAGTGTTTGAACAAACTTGGCAACTATGTCGAAAAATAGAGTGAAGTATGTACTTTCTGAAAATAAATTTACTTTTTGGAAATAAACTTTCGTTGTGTACTTATGTTCAAATGGACCTTACTTAAAAAATACCCCTCGTATAACTGGGCAAGAACTTCCCCTCCTCCAACCTACTTTACCTACGATGCATTTTCTATACATATTTTTTTGGATAAGTGCAGGAAACCTGTTAGCATAGGAAGCCATTCCACATCTTCTCCTCTTCCAATTTATGTTGCCCTGGGAGTTGTCACCAGATCACAGTCTTTGTAGATGCACAAAGACTCCTTCAGCCCATGAACAAATTGTTTTGGGAGTATTGACTATGATCTTCCCTTCACCAATTAATTTTTTTTAAAAAAAACCTACACATATACAAATCTGAGTTGCAAATATGCCCAATATTAGATTCTTGAGTTTTTGAAATGTTCTGTGGTAATTGTAAAGTGGAGTGCTTTGCTTGAGTACGTGTGACCACTTGTGCTAACCATAAATAATGACATTCTGGCTTCTATTTCTGATCTCATCAGAGGGGCTCTTTCCTCATCGTACACCGGTTGCTGTCCTCTTTTCTGACACAGCCCATTATATGACATGCACACACTTCTGGCCGGGCTCCATTGGGAAAAGAGAGAAAAAATGGCATAGGACAACAAGAGGAAGCCAGGCAGCAATGAAGGTCCCCAGAAAGTCTTGTGATGCAGTGCACCCCTAATGGATTTGCCACAATGTGTGGTGAATTCAAGGACCTTTGCCATGAGAACCTCTGCTTATGTAAAGAAGAATTGGGAGAAATCATCCACTTCTGTTGCATCTGTAAGGGAGCTTGCTGAGAAGATCTACTGCTTTCACCAAAATCAATGGACTACCTTAGCAGACTCCTTTACACATTAAAAAAAAACGTCTCCAGAGTCCCCCAAAAAACCTCCTCCCTCAATTATGGATCATAAAAAAAGTTATTGAATAATGATAATATTTATAACAAACTCTTAGGCATTCAGAAATGGTCTAAATCCAACTGCTAGACCCAGACAGATCCATGAAATCAATGTGTGAGGATACAATGTAGT